CATTAATTTTAAAATTTAAGAATAATTTTTTAACAAGTACCCGTGTAATACACGGGTGTTGTACTAGTATGTACTGATTTCTAAAGACTTGTTACCTTATAAATCCTTGAATACTCAATTTATATTTTTAAAATTTTTGTAATAATTGAGATTTTTTAAAATCTTACAAAATTATGAGTTATTTAACTTATTTGAGTTTAATATTTGTTAACAATTTTGCTAAAGAACCAGATGGTTGGTTTCCTTATGGAACCAACCACGAATGGGACAGCTCCACATGGGGCTATCCCACATGAAAGTAATGGAGCTGTCCCATTGGTGGTTGGTTCCATAAAGAAACCAACCATCTGATTTTATAGAAAAATTGGATTTGTTAATATTTTTAGTGGATTTCTAAATAACAAAGTCAAAAATTTTACACAAAATCTCACTTTAGATCTCACATTCGGATTTAAGTTTCACATAATTCATTCAAAATCTGAAAATCTTAAAATATCACTTTGAATCCCAACTGAATACACCCTTAGTAGCTCTAGTTTGTGAGCTCTTGTGCGCGTATGTGTGTTGTGTAAAGTAGATAGTCTGAATACCCTTATACCTAAGGTAACTTGATGGCTAATGGAGTCCTAATTAGAAAATATATCCTCATGTATCCACTTTTCTAACTATCAATATCTCTTTAATCTAATAGTCATTAACAATATATACTTTTCATCTATGAAGGATTCCTTCCCTCATGCAGATCCTAGATCTTGAGATCACAATCCCGACCTCTGCACCTACCTGTCACGAGTCTTATCCATGTCGTAACCACGACCTCAACCCACTAACTTACAGGTCATGGGGCCTCCTATATCTAGCTCCTAAGGTCTCACGACCTCCAAACTACATGAACTACTATCCTGGACCCTGAGCCACCTACGCGAAAGTTTCTTGTGAGATGCAAGTACTAAATCAGATTGAGCTCTCTTGAACCTTCATCATTTTAGATGACTCTTATGGTCGATTCACTAAGCTATTATGGATGTTATATCAGTTTCATTGTTTATTAAATTCAAAGTTTTAAAGTTGAATTTGGTGGATGGGAAAACTTTTATGACTTTGCGAATATTTTGAGATTTTTATATAAGTTTCATCGCTGACTTTTAAAACTTTCTTTATTTACTTTTCAAACTTACTGAAACTTTTATATACCATATAACTATTACGTTTGCATATTATATTTATTAACCTTGCATCATCGCTAATATAAATAAAAATCAAACTATTTTTTTATTAAAAAAATTAAACCAACTTTTTCAATTATGTATTTTCGCGAACAACCTGTTTACGTTCTTAGGTCTATTAAATGAGCTAGGCCAATTTGAGCTTTTGCAAGTTTGAACAAGTCAAACTGAGTTGAGTCTTATATCCGTTTACTAAATGGGCACAAACTCAAACAGTAGTTATTCATCTCGGTGGAATGAACTCATAATCAACCCGATTATGACGACACAAATATTGTCAAAAGGCAGCGATGGAAGTGAAAATATACAGGCTCGAAATCGACATCAGCAGCCATCTGAGTTCGTTGAGGTTGTTGAGTTCTTCCACCTTGAATAGGATCAAATTCATCTTCTTATGGCTACTCTTGGTTCTCCCTGAACAGTAAGCTCACGTGGATTTTCTCGATAGAGTGAAAGATGTGTTGGACCATTTCGGGCTCAACATCATCGAAAAGACCCAAAACGTCTTGGTATACCGTATGCCTCTCGACATCAGCAATGGAGGTTTACTAGAAGAAAATTCGCCTATATTTTTACGCTTTTGTGTGGCCGATCACCGGCACAACCACTACCATGATAACTCGAAATTTTGTAACTAGAATAAACTTTATAAAATAAAAAAGAGAAGTGAAAAATGATAAAATTATAAACGAGAGGGTATTATGTAGATAATTTACATAATGAGAACCAGAAGTAGAGTGAATATATAGAATTTGGAGCTCAAGACTGAATTTATATAGAATCGAACCGATTTACAGCAAATCAAAAACTAAAATTTAGCACTCCAAGAACTTAGAAATGATTAGAGAAGAGATGAAAATATTGTAAATGGTGTGAAAAATCTAATTTGGAGGATGGGGTTATTTATAGGAATTTTTTGGAATTATTTGAATTTTTTGAATGTTCTTGATTTTTTCAACTACAAGACTGGTGGGTCAGTCGGATCTTGACCATTGAGTCAACAGTCAAGATAAATCATGAAAAACCGAACCATTATGGGTTCCGAGCGGGCCGGGTCAAATTTGAACCTAGACCTGGACCAGAAATTTTGGTCGTTGGATCTCCAACGATAAAAAAAATCCAACAGTCCAAATTAGCAGACCGCGTAAATCTAATAGCAAGCCCCGGGCCTGCCGGACTCAGTCAAAAAAGAAAAAAAAAAAGAAAAGAGGAAATGAAAAATATCAGTAATACTCTCCTACCCACGATGGATACATGTTAATATGTCCACCGCTTATATGACATGCGCACATTAGTGATGTTAATATGTTCAAAAAAATACATTACCAATGTGTGCATGCCACATAAACGGTGTGTATATTAGAATGTGACCACCGCATGTAGAAGATCGTTATTGTGAAAAATATACTTGTCTCTCCAGTCTCCACGGCCAAAAAAAAAAAAAGTTAAAAAGGAAGAAAAAGAAAAAAAGAAAAAAAGGAAATTGAAAATATGCTGACCTCTACAGGGCCGGTTCCGAGCCAGCCAGACTATACTCAGTCACTGAGAGTAAAAAATGTATATAGTTCGTAACCGATCCGGTCTTAACTCGGTGTCGGGTCGGTTCGAGTCGAACCAAGGGGCCGTCGCCACGTCTAATTGCGATCATAGGGTAGGTGAAAAGCAGTCTAGAAGAGCTGCGGGGAGCACCTTTGCTCCGTGTTAGTTTACTTGCTGCGTTTTAGAGCAGAGTTTCCTATGGAACACACACCTGCTCACTCTCGAGGAAATTTGATCCAACGATCACTCCACCATTTTTTTTTTTCTTTGTTGTTGTGAATTTTGATTGTTATTCGAACTTCTGGCAGTAGCACTGCCGTGAAATCCGAAGCCATGAGCTGCATCTACAAAGACCCGTATGCTCCGATCGAAGCCCGAGTTAGAGACCTTCTCTCCCGGATGACCCTTCGAGAGAAAGTCGGCCAAATGACCCAGATCGAGCGAAGCGTCGCAACCCTTTCCGCCATAAAAGACCTATCCATAGGTCAGATTGAAATATATGTATATATGTGCATTGCCAATTTTCCTGTTTGGTGTGTGCTCCTCAAAACTTTTCATGTGCTGATTTAGAATTTGTTTTCATTTTTGTTGGCACCCCGCGTAGGATTTTTGCGGTGTATTCAAATATTGCATTATGTTTCATTATCGTTTTGTGAAAGCATGATCTCATTGATTGTTTCTGTTACTCTTTTATGCTCTGGAATTGGTGATTTTCGGATGTTGGACATAAAGTTGATTTGGGTTGAAGCTCCTTGGCAACGCTAACTGTTTGAATTCGATTTTCGTTCTGTTTTTGGACTGAAGGTAGCATACTAAGTGTTGGTGGTAGCGGGCCATTTGAGAATGCAAAATCGTCTGATTGGGCAGACATGGTGGATGATTTCCAGAAGGCCGCACTTAAGTCTAGGCTCGGAATTCCTTTGTTGTATGGTATTGATGCAGTTCATGGTAATAATAACGTCTATGGTGCTACCATTTTTCCTCACAACATAGGCCTTGGAGCCACTAGGTGAATTTTCACTGAATTGTTTAGTGAAATGATGACATTCAATTGTTTCCTTGAATGCTAACCACCGTATGAGTTGTACGACTAATGTACATGTACCGTTTTAGAGATGCTGACTTAATCTGGAGGATTGGAGCTGCTACAGCTCTCGAAGTTAGGGCAAGTGGGATTCACTATACTTTTGCTCCATGTGTAGCTGTAAGTTTCATTAAGCACTTTCTTTTTTCGATATTATGCTGTTGGACTCTGAGTTATATCCAAGAGATTGACTAACACAAAAATAAACTGTCATTGTGGTAAAGTGTTAAACCTTGAATTCTTAATATATGTGATGTCACACTTGTGAATGCACAATATGGGTTTGTATGTGAAAAATACGTACCTAATAGGAAAATTGGTAGATTCCTTTGTGGAGACACAGTAAAACATAAATGGTTCATTATTTATAATTAAATAGGTTTTAATTGGATTAGAATCTGTGAACTTGTGAAGTCACCTCAAGTTGAATGCAGAAGTTTGCATGTTCTGTTTGAACATATGAATCTGGAGTTGGTACTTCTCCAGGAGGTATCAGAAAATAATACACTGAAGACTGATTTGTAAACCTTAATGTGTTTTTGAGATTACAGATAGTTGTATCAGATGAGTACAGTAAAATTTAAATAGTGGAATATGATTTATGCAACAAAACTTATTTGCAACAACGAATTCTTCAGTCATATTAACTTGCATCACTGGGAGCTGGATAAACATTGAACCCCAGAAAAGTTGGCTGGGGTTATGCTAACACAGAGACTAAGAGAATATAAAATATCACATTTTTTTTCCTCCTTAGATCATGACTAACTATTATATATCTTTTCATTTTATTGGTAAATTATTTACTTCTCAGAATAGAACTATCTTTGTAAAGTAAATGTTTCCTAGCTTCAGGCATTGGATAATTATTGAAGCCTGCTCCATGCCATGATATTTGATATAGCAGTTCTCTATTAAAATACAGTGTTCCTCTTGGATTTCTTGCTATTTATCTCTTACGCATTGGGCCTGCTTCTTAATAAGATGATGGCAACAGGTGTGTAGGGATCCCAGATGGGGAAGGTGCTATGAGAGTTTTGGTGAAGACCCTCAAATTGTTAAGATGATGACTTCAATGGTCGTTGGCTTACAGGGAAAACCATCCCAAGGACACCCTTATGGCTACCCATTCGTGGCTGGAAGGTACACATTGCTTGCATTAAAAATTAATGCACCTTTGAACAACACAATTACATTAGACAGTTTGCCTGGTTTCAACCTTCCTTTATATTTCTACTCATACATCTCAGAGGAAATTAGTTTTAGCCATTATAACTCCTTTTCCAATTTCGTAGATGGTTCTTCAGTCTTTCCCTTTTTCTGGGTATATGTCTTCAATGATGCTTTCCCTTCTGCCCCTTCCATGCATTAATATGTTTCTTTCTCAAATTGCTCGACTGATGAGAATATTTAACTCCAGAGAAAATGTCGTTGCATGTGCAAAGCATTTTGTTGGAGATGGTGGCACCAAGAATGGTAAAAACGAGGGAGATACTATATCATCATATGATGACCTGGAGAAAATTCATATGGCTCCTTTTGTTGACTGCATTTCTCAGGGTGTATCTACTATCATGGCATCCTATTCTAGCTGGAACGGCACTAAGTTGCACGATTGCTGTTTTCTTCTTACTGACATCTTGAAAGAGAAGCTTGGATTTAAGTTGAGTTGATTTGGATCACCCCAAATTTCACAATATCTGCCGTTTTGCTGATACAGATGAAACTTGAGTTCTAACTTATGAAAATGAAGATGAAACTTGAGTTCTAACTTATGAAAATGAACAATGTCACATAACAAGAGACAGATGCTGAAAGTTGCTGGATGTTTTTTGCAGGGGTTTATTATATCCGACTCAGAAGGCCTTAACAGGCTTTCTAATCCTCATGGATCTAATTACCAGCATAGTGTTCTGTCAGCAGTCAGTTCAGGAATTGATATGGTGAGGATCTTTATTTATTTATTATCATTATTATTATTATTATTATTTGTTAATTTTTTTTGCACGTATGCTTTGTTCAATCACTGGGCGAACAATTAGCTAATATAAGTCATAAAATACTTCACTTTTTTTTTGGACCAGGTGATGGTGCCTTATCGATTTCAATTATTTATTGAAGATTTGACGCATTTGGTAGAGTCAGGAAAAATACCAACCAACAGAATCGATGATGCAGTTGAAAGAATCCTGAGAGTTAAATTTGCATCTGGCCTCTTTGAACATCCCCTGAGCGATGGATCTTTATTGGGTGTAGTTAGTTGTGAGGTGAACTCCTAGATATTAAATCACAAATGAATGCTTAGCTAACAAAATGATGTGTCTTGTTATATTGGAATCCTAACAGCAACTTCCCTCAAATTTTCTAAACACATGCAAAAGTTTCTGATATGAATCCATCTCCCTGCACACCAACATCCACTTACTTTTTGCATTTTATGAATATGACTCGTCTTACATTTTCTTCGGTAGTTTTGAGGTATATTTATTTTACAACTAGGCTTTGGTAGTTTATCCGATAAAAGTCCTGCCATATCCTAACTTTCAGGAAACCTAACCATACACAATGCTAAATGTCTATATTCTGATTTAACTTGCTCAAGAATGTTGTATAGTTCTTTGAGTCATGCTCTCAGTGAAGCTTAATATTTGAGTTGACATAAAAAAGACTCTTATTTGAAATTATTCTTTCAGACGCATAAGAAACTAGCACGTGAAGCAGTTCGCAAATCCTTGGTTTTGTTAAAGAACGGGAAGAATCCGGGGGTACCATTTCTTCCTCTGGACCGACATGCAAAGAGAATTCTTGTCGTTGGAAGGCATGCAGATGACCTTGGATATCAATGTGGTGGGTGGACAGCGACGTGGGAGGGGAAAAGTGGCAGAATAACAACGGGTAAGTATCACCTCTGGAAATTTATGGTAATTTCTGATATAACTATGCATTTGTATTACAACTTACACAAAATGGGAATGATAATATAATAGTGAAGAAAAGAGAAGGATATCAAAAGGATCAAAGAACTATAATATTCATGGCAAGGTTTTAAAACAGGTCAAACCATAGACGAGTACCCGACTTTCATTTTAACACTTGTGTCATTTACTTTGTTTGTAGCATTATATCTTTTTATTTTCTGATTTCTTCTGAGTTTTGATCATACGAGTTTTTTCATCTATCAATCACAACAATGGGCGGCTCATTGCTTGTATACTATTATGTTGAATAAAGTATTCAATTTTTTCAATCAATGAATAAGGCATTCAATTCTTTCCAATGAATAAGGTATTCCCGAAGAAGGATTTTATTTACATTTTGACACTTTCTAGTCTTCTATACATGTATCAGGCACTACAATTTTGGACGCTATTAAAGAAGTTGCCGGGGACAAAGCAGAAGTAACATACGAACAAAATCCATCCGGGACTGAAACTTTCAGTGGAAAAGACTATTCTTTTGCCATTGTAGTTGTTGGTGAAGGACCATACGTGGAATCTGGTGGAGACAGCACAGATCTCAAGATTCATTTTAATGGAGCGGAACTTCTAAGTATGGTAGCAGATGAAGTCCCCACATTAGCAATCTTGATATCTGGGCGGCCTTTAGCTTTAGACCCAGTGCTGTTCGACAAAATCGATGCGTTGGTTGCAGCATGGCTGCCCGGCAGTGAAGGGGCTGGGATTGTTGACGTTATCTTTGGAGATTATGAGTTCCAAGGACGGCTTCCAATGACTTGGTTCAAAAATGTCAATCAACTACCGATGCATGCTGAAGACAGTTTATATGATCCTCTGTTCCCGATTGGTTTTGGTCTGACGAGCAAGAACGAGATTCTCAAGGGTTAACCGGCTATTCACCCTTCATAGCAGGTTTGAAAATCCTGAGCTTGTTCATTAACCTGTATGGCTGTATCTAATATGGCATGTAACTAACAACCTCTAATTGCGTGATGGACGACCAAAATTTTTAACAGTTAAACTTCGTATAGTTTAACCAAGTAGTTTAATTTGGTTGCCTGTGCTTTGTTTCAGCTTCTTGTGAAGACGCTTTGTCTGCGTGAAGTTATAATTGCATTTAGAATTAGCCTATTGTTAGGGTCGAACGAATGAGTAAATGCAGTTTTCTAAGTTTTAGGGGTCGAACGAACGAGTAATCCGGTAGCGTCGAATATTCCCTACAAATACATATCATATATATTATATATATGTCATTTTTTATTCATTATCTTCAAAATTTACTTCAACTTTTGAAATATGGGCACGGAGACATGAAGCATTTTGTGAACCCTATCCTTGAAAAATATACTTCCTTGCTTGCCCCAACCACAGCCATGCATTTGTATACATACATATGAATGTCAAGATCACATGAGAATAAGCCGTGGTGAAATCAAATGAGAATAAATATGTTTTGATCAATGGGATTTGACAAATCAACTTCTTAGACAGTTTGCTACGTCACTATGTATGTTGACGTCCTGTTGTTTGCATGGTAAAGTAGCACTATCCTGCATTAATGTTGTTGCAAATGTTTCTTGTTTGTTGCAAAAGTAACTTTGAAGATGGTAATTGATTAGTTTTATACATGAATATCTGTTGATCTAACCGTAAGTAATTCGGTTATACGACCGGTTATACAAGTGTGTGTTTATTCAACAGTAAAATAAATCGGCAACTGTGGTAGGTTGAAATCGATCGTGTGCGCTTTCTTCTTCTTCTTCCTCTTCTTTCTTTTTTTTTTTTATTTTTATTTTTTTTTTTTGTAACTGTGATTGATTTAGAAAGAGGAATGAGAATATTATGTAAGACCAACAAGAGATGACCCAAAATTCATAACCGAAAGTTGTGAGGTGGCCCATTTTTGTGGTTGGAAATAGTTGAATAGATACAATTATTTTCGAATAAAGCGGCCCCAAACTTTCTTTCTGCTTCAACTTGATCAAAATGCTTGGTTTCTTTTTTTAATATATTTTTTTTCTTTAAAATATTTTCCATTTCTTATTGATTTTAATTTGACTATATGAGGTTATTTATGCCATTTTTCCTATGGAGGGAGAAAGAAGAGTATTCTTGGTAGATTTGTTTTCCAACTTTTCATATTTAGTCCAGTTTTGATATCATTTTGTTTTTAACAAGGCTCATCAGAATATACCCCATATCACATGAAGTGAAAGCATTCACATTCACCCATTGAAAAGACCCTTCACGCCAACACACAGAGAGAGAGAGAGAGAGAG